ATAGTGAAACCCTGTCTCAGAAAGATCAAACAGAAAAAAAGTACTGGCCTTGAGATGAGATAAAAGAAATAAAAGGAAGAAAGGAAACGAAGAAAATCATAATTTAAAACCTGTACTTTTAGGAAGACTGCAACTTCAGGACACAAAGTTACCCAGGGTTACCCATATCTGTAATCCACATGTTTGTTTATACTTTTCATTAGACCCATCACACTCCAGGTCCCTTGGAGATAATGTAAATCCATAGATGAGTTTAGTTGATAAAGGGCAGGAACCTGACATTATGGTAAAGAGCACTGTAATCCCAGCACTAGGGAGGCTGATGTAGGAGGATCCCTGCACTTCTGAGGACAGGTGGTGCTACATAGTGGGTTCAAGCCCACTTTGACCTACACAGCAAGATTCTATCTCAAAAAGAAAAAAAGGCAGAGATTTCAAGGAATGTTTTTAAGCAAAACATCTTAGATCACCCATTTTTAGAAATGGGCTCATGCCTGTCCTGTGGCTCATGCCAATTCTGTGTCCAGAATTGTCTTTCTGTGGGTGACCGTCCTTTTCTTCTGTAAACCAAGGGGGAACTTCCTACAGACTCCCAAATTCCATAGGCCACACTCTATCTCTTGGAGTAAACACTTGTAAAATTCTGCTTAATAAATCTTTTTATGCCTCTTATTGATTTGTTTTAAAAATTCTTTTTCTTTTTTTAAAAATTATTTTTCTGTGATGGAAGTCAGTGAACCTGAAACCTGTCCTGTGGGTGGATCAAGTCAAGGTTCTACATCTATGCTTTGGGGACCTCCTGGTGTGGTGACAGTCCTGGTGGGGTGTGTGCCTGTAGTTGCAGCAATTTGGAGGCCAGGGGTAGGGTTGCCCAGACCCTGTGTGCCACCAAGCCCGGCCATTCACATTTTTGTTTTTGTTTTTTTTTTGTCTTTTTGAGACAGGGTCTCCCTATGCAGCTCAGGCTGACCTTGAGCTCACTTTGTAACCCAGGCTGGTCTTGAATTTGCTATAATCCTCCTGCCTCAGCCTTGAAAGTGCTGGGACTATAGGCGTGTGCCACCACGCCTGGCTCATTCACATTCTTTAAAAACTTTCAGTGGTGGTGTGGTGATGCAAGCCTGTAATCCCAGCACCGGGAAGGCTGAGGCTGTTTGCCAAGAACTTGAGCCAGACGGGGATGTATAGTGAATTGAAGGCCAGCCTGAACTGCACAGCA